GAGACGGAGCTTTTAAGGGACATTAATCGGGCCTTACGAGAAGAGAACATCTTCCTGAAAGAGTCACTGAAGCAGTCAGAGACATGGAAATGTCAAGGTTAGTTACTGCATATTGTGTGTCTCTGTATGCTGCCCGGGTCATTGGTAAATTGTCCAACATACAATATATAGCTTGTCCATTTTGACCTAACTCGAACATGGTGAGAAAACTAAGGGACTGCTTTATAACGCATTTGCAGTGTATAGCTGTGCGAATGATGTTTGCAGTGCATTACTGCTACTAGATAGATCTGAGGAGCATAGGAATTTTAAAGGACCTAAATCAACATCAATATAAAAGCAGGGGGAGACTTCTCAGGTGGAAAGATTATAATAGAGGAGCTCAGTATGTAGGAATAGGGATGACCATGAGAGTGATCCAAATGTACCCAAATTTCTCATGATTAATGTTAAATGTATAGCTGATCTTCTCCGTGAAGTATATTTACCAACTTGTACACAAAATACCAGGCAGCATACTTAAAATACCATATTCTCCTCCTTGCTGGGATTCTATTAATAAGTGCTTGTTTTCTCCCTGCTTTCCAGATTGTGATAAGGCTGTTAGACGCTACAACAGCTCTGCTCAAAGTTCCCATTCTGCAGGTTCTTCAAAGGAAGTTGTAAGAACTGCAGTGCACAGGGCCAGCTACGATGCAGACTTTGCTAAAGCTCTCAAGGTTTTCTATCAAAGCATGAACACGATCAGAGGACATTTCTTACGGCTAAAACACTACAAGCCACCAGTAAGAACACAAAGTTCATTTTTCAAATGCTCTAAAAAAAACTGCACCAGATTACATTTCTTTAGCTCTGCTCCCTTTTTTTTTTTCTTTGTAAGTCTATTAGCTGCATATTATCCTTTCTATTAGGAATGTGAATTGCTTTCACTGACAGGAAAGGTTTATGGATGACCATCATCATTGACATTCTTTAGAAGCAAGAGGGAAGAATGTATACTGCTTAATCTGCATCTCCTAGTTGCAAGCAGTGCACAATATTGGAGAGAAGGAATCTTTTAGGTAGTAATCGATTTCTCAGGGCATCCATTCCCATGTTCAATGTTTCCTTCTACCACAAGCTTTTATCTGCTTTCCTGCTATGTGTGATAGCAAGTACAGTGCACCCAGAATGAACAAACCATTAACAACACAAGGCACAGTATCTCACAGAAGTGAGTACACCCCTCACATGTTTGTAAATATTTTATTATATCATTTCATGTGACGACACTTAAGAAATGACACTTTGCTACAATGTAAAGTAGTGAGTGTACAGCTTGTATATCAGTGTACATTTGCTGTCCCCTCAAAGTAACTCAACACACAGCCATTAATGTCTAAACCGCTGGCAACAAAAGTGAGTACATCCCTAAGCCCTCGTTCACACCTGAAAGTGTTGTAGCGCGTTCTACGCTCTACAAAACGCTCAAAAATATAAAAACCATTGTATTCAATGGTCTCGTTCCCACCTTGGCGTATTTCCGCCGTCCCTAACGCGCTACAAAACGGCCCACGCCTGAAAAGGTACATGTACTACTTTGGGCCGTTTTGTTGCGCGTTTCCATTGGGATACAGCCAAGTAGCCTTCGGAAACGCGAGACGGGCGCGCAACTTTTTTACCGCGAGTCGCGGTAAAAAAACATGCGACAGACGCGCATATGCAATACGCTAGGTGTGAACGAGACCTAAGTGAAAATGTCCAAATTGGTCCCAATTAGCCATTTTCCCTCCCTGGCGTCATGTGACTCGTTAGTGTTACAAGGTCTCAGGTGTGAATGGGGAGCAGGTGTGTTAAATTTGGTGTTATCGCTCTCACTCTCTCATAATGGTCAACATGGCACCTCATGGCAAAGAACTCTCTGAGGATCTGATAAAAAGAATTATTGTTCTACATAAAGATGGCCTAGGCTATAAGAAGATTGCCAAGACCCTGAAACTGAGCTGTAGCACGGTGGCCAAGACCATACAGCAGTTTAACAGGACAGGTTCCACTCAGAACAGGCCTCGCCATGGTCGACTAAAGTAGTGATGGTACACTCACTACTTTACATTGTAGCAAAGTGTCATTTCTTCTGTGTCGTCACATGAAATGATATAATAAAATATTTACAAAAATGTACTCACTTCTGTGAAATACTGTATATGTATGCTATATGTACTGTAAAGTCTTTCCATGCATAATGATATATGGACTTTTTTTTTTACCCAGGAAGAAGAGAACGTTTATCTGCTGCGGCTTTTCACAGAGAAGCAGTCACAAATGTTCAAAGATTTCTGGCAACAGCTTGAGTCTTGTATCTGCAAGCTGAAAAATGACGTTGCAGCCATTGTAAAGAAAAAAAGACAAGAGGTTGCGTATGGCAGAGACTGAATTTAGAACCAAAGGAAATATACTTCAGTATTTTTTTTATAGTCACATGTTCTCGAATTTCCTTCAGGTAATAGTCTAGTGTGCACGTTTAGTTGTTTTATTCATGGCATTCTCGAAGTGGAAAGAACAATTGTGATGAAAAATCCTGGTTGAGCAGTAACAAGATCTGTGCTAAACTCTGGCGGTGTCAACAAAGGGTACTGTAAGCTAGTTGAATGTCTTTCAGGCTGACTGTAGTGTTCTCATGTTTAATTGGGTTTGGATCCATCCTTTAAAAGTGTCTGGCAAGTGTAAGACAACCTGCTAACAAAAGCTATCAGCATCTGAAACATATTATAGTGTAAAAAAACTCTACAAGTCTGTGCAGTGTAAAGTTTATCTGTATGTAGAGGCATGTCCGGTTTTAATAACTTTAGCTTAAGTCAGGCGGCCTGGCTCATCCCAGCACGTCTAGGTGACACCACTGGATTATTTTAAAATTCCTTCTACTATTTCAGCTTGTGTAGATGGGCAAATGTAGCTTCTTTCAGGTGCACTCAGTTTGTCTTTGGGATCAATTCGTGATGCTTCTGATGTCCTAAGCTGCTTTTCCGTGCTCATTGCCTTAAGGTGGCCATACACTTTACAATCCTCGCAAAAGTACGATCTGCCCATCTTGGATAGGCAGATCGTACTTGCGATGACTGCAATGAGGGGCGGGCTTCCGATGACTGCAATTCTGAACGGGCAGTGTGCGTGTGCGCACACCGGCCGTTCAGCAGTTGTCGAACAAGCACGCCACTCACCCGCCGATAATCGTACGATTCTCGGCGGGTTTTCTAGCCTGCTTGATTGACAGAAGACGTGCGACCGTACAGTAGAAACGGTCTCACTGCACGATTCTCGTACGATCGCGGGATTTCCCGCGATTCTCGTACAGTGTATGGGCACCTTTAGTTGCAAACAAATGCCAGTGTGCCCACAGAACTGATGAGAGGTTTGGCCATTATGACCAAAGACACTGCAGGCATTTCCCACTTGTCTGCTGATGACTAAAGTTCTGGCATTTAATGCACTCTGCACCCAACTTTCAGACTACTCCTGGTATAGATGTAGGTACAACAAAAGAGATCAAGTGTCACCCAAGATACAAGTCAATTGGTGGCTCTGCACAGAGCCACCAAATGGGACTAAATGTCTACCAAGCATTCCCCATATAAGGGGGTGAAAAGGTTTATGGAGTACGGATCAATAGACGCAAACTGTTGGGTACTAACTGGCAGCATGTCGCAGCACTTCATAAGAACTCCCATCGTTTTTTTCTGTGGAGATTCACCTTTTCTTTCTGCCCTGGTAACTATTCTCATTAGGATAATAAGGTGATGAATTCAACGTGAATACCCCATCCAAAAAAAGCTTCTTTTTTTTTTAATCAGATAGTTTTGTATTGATTTTTCAAAAAACAAATACAAAAAGTAAAAAGGAGGTGTACATTTGGAAAGCAATCGCCACATGTCAAACAATACAGAAGTATTATGTATACCTTATACCTCTCGCAACCCACAGCTGCTGATGTAGCCCTAGCAGTACATACATACAGAGTAGACCCCAGGAGATGGTACATATACAGGCTGTTCACTCAGGCGCCGCCTGTCCATGGTAAGACAGCCAGTTAGACCACATTAGAAGCAAATTTATTAATATTACCTCTCTGCTGAAAAGTGACGCGTTCATAGTCAATCATCCTATCCAATTCACTAAGCCATAGCTCCAGTGTGGGGGGGTGAGAGGAGAAGACCCACATACGCACCACCAGCCTTGACGCAGTGAATAGTGCTCGTTTAATGGCCACAGTCGTAAAGGAGGCTAAATCCGGTGCACCAATAATGCCCGGGATGCAAACAAGTGGACAATTAGTTAATGAGGATTCAAAAACTGAATTAACGACGTCCAAGACCTCGCCCCAATACCGTACAAGCTTAGGGCATCTCCATAATAAATGAATTAAAGAACCTCGGTGAGAGTTGCACTTTGGGTGAGCCCTGTACCCAATACGAAACAGAAATTCAGGTGTACGATATATTCTGTGGATAATGAACAATTGCGTCAACCTATGAGTGGGCGACAGCGAGACTTGTTCAACCCCTTGGAGTACATCTTCCCAATTGTCATCCGACAGAGCGCCTAAATCCGTCTCCCAGCACCTCAATGGTAGAAGAACATCAGACTTGAGGCCAAAAAAGCTTTAAATATACGTTCAACACTAAAACTAGGCACTGATCACAATAAATTGCCTAACAGCCTAGTCAGCAGAAATATGATCAGGACCGGTCAAATCAAACAATGCTTCTGATGTAGGGCACTGGTTGCAGTGTATAGTACTATTTCTGCAGTGTAAGAGATGATCAGGAATGTCTGTGGCATCCCTCTCTGCTAGCAGGTCCCAGTCCCTCACCGCTCCTAACACAAGTAATGTTTGTGCACTTCTGTCCGTGTCAAGCCATGACATGTGAGGACAGACCTCCACACGTGTTGGCCTCTGGGAAAGATGTGCTTTTACAAGTATAAACTTATCAGGATAAAACCAAAACGCCACACACAGGAACAGATTATGTTACAGTATTTTATAGGCTAAACAATTACCGTACAGCAGAGTTATGAAAAATATGAGAAGCGTTCTTCTATTAGTGCAATTAGCTTTGTCATACGAATTAAGGACGGAAAGCATTATACATATTTGAGTCCAGCTGCTCTAGTGACTCCCTAGTCATGCACATAGTGTCAGTGCCAACAATGCTCAGTTCTCGGTCTTGCTAATGACTTTGAAGTGGATGCCAGCTTTGTTCAGTCGGTCAATAAGCTTGGTCTTGGAAAAGGCAGCTCCAGGTGTGTAGACGCCTCCCCTGGAAAACAAAGATGACTTTATTAAAAAAGGATTCCCCAAAAATACTCTTAGGCTTGTGGAAAGAGTGGCTCAATGTATTTAACATCTGCAAATGAAATGAATATGCAAGGTCTTTTGTACACGGCCATTTCTTCACATCTAAACTGCTTTTATTTTCCGTACAAGCCAATAGAATTACAAAAGCAACTCAGAACAACGCAGCGTTTAACTTGCATCTAAGTCAGTTGGCCCATGTACATAAATCCTGTTTGAGTTGAAAAGCCGAGGGATTCTTTGACTTAGCACAGGGATGTCCAAACTGCGGCCCTCCAGCTGTGGTGAAACTACAAATCCCATGAAGCATCTCTCTCCGGGAGTCATGTCTGTGGCTGTGAGAATCTTGCAAAGCCTCATGGGATTCGTAGTTCCACCACAGCCGGAGGGCCGCAGTTTGGACATCCCTGACCTAGCATGATGGGTAGTGAAATATCTGTCCATCCTTACTAGTCATTTATTTCTCGCCATCTTGCCTGATGGTACAATGCTGTGCATGCGTGTTTAATGAAATAAAAGGGATTAGGTGGTGCCCGGTTGCATTCACAATGAGCCTCCTGTATAAAATTTGATGGAAGTAGCGGTCAGATTCAGTTACTTGTACAATGCAGTATACAAAATGGAATAAGACCTGACTGCCATGACAGACTCTGTGTACACAAGACACCGATTGTGGATTTAGGTAAAACGGTCACAGAACAATTGTACTTTCCAAAGATGATACTTTGCTAACGATATATTCAGAAATGAAGCAGTCTATGGGGAGGTTTTTAAGTGCATTTCCACTTGTGCAGTCAAATTTGGGAAAACCCATCTGCATGTGTGTTATATGTTCCCATTCACACGTAACAAACACGTAACGTAACAAAAATATACATTTCTGACCTTTAAGATGCGTCTGTGCAGTTGGCTTTTGCAAGCTTCTCTCTCAATTTAAGAGTCACAGGAAAATCTGTCTGTCCCCATAGAAAGACTATGGACACTATGAGCTTTCCCTCATTAACATACAATGCTTCTAAATGTTTAACCCCTTGTTAGGACAGTGTTCACGTCTACTTTACAATTGAGAATGAGATCTGCCAGCACAGTACAGACAGGGTTAATTATGTGAACATTAACCTGCACAGTCCTCATTGTATACCAAAGCAAAATTCAGTACAGAGAACAACTTTTCTTTCCAAATAGAGCAATACAAATAAAAGGTTATGCTATGTGAATGAGAAACATGTGACACATATAAAGTAGGTGTAATGTCAATTTGGCTGCAATAGTGGAGGTAGTCTGTGTACCAGCTGAGTGAGTCTGGGGGTCCAGGGAGAAGGAAACACCTCAAAAAGCCTTCTGCAGATAAATCATCAATTGTCTTTGTATTTTGTATAGCGTCTTGATTTATATCTTAGGCTGTTACGGTCAATGGAGTGGTTTGACATATTCTTGGATATGTAAGAGAATGATCACAGATCTACGTTTGTCACTTAAATGAGGTGAAATATGATTTATAATGTGTTTCATTCCTTCTGTATAAATCACACAACAGCTAATTCTAACAAATGTTTCCCTAGTTGGAAATTAAACACACAATTCAGCATTTTGTTGGTAGTTTAAGGGATGTAATAATCGATGTGGAGAGCACAATGCTGCAACAGAAAGTGACGCCATTGCAGAATCTTCACAAACCTTTTTGGAAGAGAGCCTGGTTCCTTTAAAATAGTCACTCCAGCTTGTACCATCCCAATCGGTGTGGCAACATAGCCAGCTTCTGTAATGTGAGGAAACATTCAAAACCCATTATAAAAACACGTATGTATCACTTTACATAAAATATATGAAGCTTATACAAATTCTGACCCTGCCTTTTCCATTGCCTTTGTATGACAAGGACACAGCAATCCTCTTCTCCTTACTGGAGGGCTCTGACATGAGGAACCAAGATGGCCACTTTCACAAAGAGACACAGTGCAGAACACTAAGTCAGTAATGGGGAAGGATTAGCTGTTGGGGAGCCACAGACAATTCTGGTAACTAGTCCTTTGCCTTTTTTTTTTTCCAAACAGTTTGCAGAGTTTAGTTCCTCTTTATCTGCTCACTTCAGGGGTTACGTGTTAAGGGATAGGTCAAGGGTTAAGCATTCAATGTTGTGGACATTAGGTATTAGGGTTCGTTCACACCAGATGCAGTGCGCTCCAGCCCGATTGCACTGCATCACATTGCGGCTGGCTCACTTTGTTGTGGGGCAGGAGGGGGTGTGGCAGGCCATTGAAGTGAATGGCACCGTAGCCACGTCCTCCGGCCGCACGGGATCGCAAGGCACATTGTGTTTGCGGTCTGGAGCGATCACAATGCTGCAAGCACTATTTTGATCGCACCTGACCGCAGGCACAATATGCCTTGCGATCACGTGCGGACGATCGCTTTGCGGCTGGAGGGCGTGGCTACGGTGCCATTCAATTCAATGGACCGCCACGCCCCCTCCTGCCCCACAAAAAAGTGAGCCGGCCGCAATGCGATGCAGTGCGTTCTGGACAGAATCAGGCCGGAACGCACTGCATCTGGTGTGAACCTAGTCTTAAGGTTCAGTTTATGGGTTAGGTGTTAAGTTTTCAGGTAGAGGAGGGTTCATTGTTCAGGAGGTTTCTTTATTGAAAGGTATTGTTTAAGGGGAGCTTTACACTTGATACAGACGTGATAGCAAATACTACTAGCGCTCAATTCTCGGCACCAACAACAAAATATTCTTGGTGCATGCAGACATTTCCTGTTGCCCTCTAAATTGCCCTAGGGTTCCCTAAGCTCAGAATAAATGAAGCTGGCTAAATTATTTCTAAACAAAGGAAGAAGAAAAAGTTTTACCTGGTCCTGAAACCTGGGTGCATATTTTTATATTGGGCTTCCCTTGCTGGGGATCTTGGTCCTGACTGTAGCCCTCTCCAAAGAAGGTCATCGTGAAAGAGGATTCAGCCATCTGTGAACACACCATTTATTATATAAACATGCTGGTTACTTTACCTTAAGAACAAGTTAGCATCGAAGAATCACTTCTATGTAAACACATAATGCCCCCTTCACACCTGTAAATGGGGCCAATCGCATGAGTCTCATACATTTCTCCATGAGACTCGTGTGATCAGCGGGAGGCGCTATATTATACAATGACAGCTCCCACCGCCCACAGCTGTTCAAAACCTGTTCCCTGTACCCAGCTTTATTGAAGCTTACTGCATGTTTATACTGATACCACACTAGGCTGAATGACATCAATAGGAGATGGCAGTTTAAGAGTGGGGAAGTTAGATGAAACGTTTTCCTTAATGATCAGATTTCAGGAGAGTGGTGCAGAATTCTGCAGTACAAATCATCTGACCCACAAATGTTCCTTTCTTACAAGAAGTTTAAAGCAAAATCCACCTAATACAAACGCTATTCAAAAAGTGCAGAGGGCTACATTCCAGTTTTAACCTCTTGCTGTCCGCCCGTTAAGAAAAAACGGACGGACGGCAGACTCGTACCCGAGGGTTGCCGTCGCCAGACGGCATTTTTTTCCTGCTCGCGCGCGCCCCCTAGCGCGCACGCACGGGCAGGAAAGACCCGCTCGTTACTACAGCCGATAACGGCTGTTTCACATACAACCGATCAGCGGCTCTATAGCCGCCGATCGGTTGTATGGCGTGCATTTCGGAGCGTGCCCTCCCCCCATTCTCGAGTGCCGCCATCTCCCCCCTCCTGACCCCTCACCTTTAATCCCGGGATCCGCTAGCCTATCTGCGGCCCGGGATCGGCTTGGGAGGGCGTCAGGAGAAGGAGGGAGGGAGATCAGCTCCTTGCTGTTCTCCCTCTGTAGTGTGAATGCAGAAGTGATGTGTATTACATCACTTCCGCATTCACCTGTCAGTCATCTGGCTCCTACTGCCAGAGAGAAGAAGCTGATGAAGCAAATCTGTGCTTCATCAGCTTCTTTTGGGGTCTCCAGGTGACATTAGGGGTCTAGAGACCCCTAATGTCTCCATAAAGAGGACCTGTCAGTGTACCTGTGCTATTACATAGGAGAATGGTATCCCCCTATGTAATAGCAATAACAATAAGTGAAAAAAAAAAATCTATATAAATAAAAAAAGTTACAAAAATAAAAGTCAAATAAAAAAAAGTAACCCCCCCAATGTTTAAGTTCCCCCCCCTTCGTTTACGCACATATAAACGTCGCATGCGCCAGCGCGCGAAAATGACAATTGGGCTACACGTTACGTATCGTCGCGAACGTCGCAGTGAGAGCAATCATTTTAGGGCCATCAATCACTGATAACACTAAACTGATGAGCGGTAAAAGCTTTTAATGCGTCGCCTATGGCCAATTTTGGGTAATGTAGTTTTTTTGAGGTTTCGCGCGCATGCGCAATTTTAAGGCTTGACATGTTTGGTGTCTCTTTACCCGACGTGACCCCATCTTTTATATTTTACCAAAAAATGTAATAAATGTTTTAGAATTTAATATAGGGGAAACTGTTTTTTTTTTTTTTAAAATCTGTAGTTTTTCCTTAATATATTAAAAAATAAAAACCCCAGTGGTGATTAAATACCACCAAAATAAAGCTCTATCTGTCCCCAAAAAAGCGTATAAAAATTCATTTCAGTACAGCGTTGCATGACGGAATAAATGTCAGTCAAAGTACCGCAGCGCTGAATACTGAAAAATGGCCTGGATGGGAAGGGGGTTTAACACCGCGGATGTCAACTGGTTAAAGTAAACCAGTAAATCATAGGGATGGGTGGAGAGCTAACCAAATACACAGCCCTCTACTGTGTGCTTGGAACTCTCCAATACTAAACTTTTAGTTTAAATCAGTCTGTTCCATATGCTGCAAAAGTAATGCACTTTGTTTTCCTTAGAAAGCAGCATCAGCATGAGTAGAACAGCCAGCCCCCTGCCAGCATGATGTAGAGAAGAGCCCTTACTCTCTATGGGGAAGCAGTGGTCTCTCTGCAGAAGTCTGACATCTCCCTACTGAGCAAGAGCTGTCTACTCAGAAGAGAGTGTAGGCATTGCTGAATGCAGAGCTACAGGTCTAACTTAGCAAGGGGAGTGTCAGACCTCTGCAGAGAGAACACTGCTTCCACACAGAGTCAGGGTCCTCTTCAGCAATTTCTACTTGGACTTTGGTTGTTTCCTAAGTATACAAAAAAAAAAATATTTGCAACACCTTCAGTTTTGGTGTACCTAGAGTATATATATATA